CTCTCTTAGTTTCCTCATTGTTGTCTAAGATCTCTGGAATTGTGGTTTGTAGGCTCGTATTTTTGACTTATGTTAAAAAAAAACCACCTATGAGTGAGTACATGTGATAATTGTCTTTCTGAATCTGGGTTACGTCACTCAATATGATGTTTTCTAGCTCCATCCATTTTTCTACAAAATTCAAGATGTCATTAATTTTTTTCTGCTGTGTAGTACTCCATTGTGTAAATGTACCACATTATCCTTATCTATTCTTCAGTCAAGGGACATTTAGGTTGTTTCCAGGTTCTGGCTATGCAAAACAATGCTTCTATGACAGAACAGAACACATGTCCTTGTGGCACAGTTGAGCATCCTTTGGATATATACCCAAAAGTGGTATTACTGGGTCTTGGGGAAGATTCTTTCCTAATTTTCTGAGAAATCACTACACTGACAACAAAAAGGGCTGTACCAGCTTGCATTCCCACCAGCAATGCAGAAGTGTTCTCTTTTCTCCACAACTTCTCCGGAATAATACATATTTTCATACTGGCAATCAGCCACTTGTCACACCAATCCCTCATTTTATTGCATTTGGAATTTCAGTAGTCATAGTTTTTGTATGTGGACTATGCATTCATCTTCTAAAATAGTACATGGCAACTCTGTGGAATGCTCAAGAGTAAGCAAACGAATCTCTAGGGTTGCTCACAGCCTATCTAGTGGCCCAATGTGAAGATCCTAAACCTGATGTTTGAAAACAATTCACATAGTAAAGCTGTTACTCATATTATTTGTATTTCTCACCTTTGTAAAGAAATAAAAAAAAACTGTATATCCTCAAATTCATTTGAAAAAATAAATAAGGATACAAAAAATTGTATTTGTAAAAACAGCATATGAATCTTTACTAATGGATCAAATCCAATATTGCCATTTTGTACCACATTCAATTTAGCAATTATAGTGTTTAAATTTTTCATGAATAATTCAGTTTCTCAAGATAGTTGTAAGAAAATAAGAAGGAAGACAATATTATGCATTTTTATATATCTGTGTTGCCCATCAAATGATAATTTTCAAGTTTTTTGTTCAATTTTAAAACTGCCAATATTTGGCAGCATTTTGTGCGCATGCAGTTGTCCAATAAATATCCATTCTCTTCAATTTAATCTAATTTAAGTTTAATTTAATTTAATTCAAGTTTGATTTGAGTTGATGTACAAAATTATTTCTTGTTGATTTTGCAAAATGAACATATGCAAAACAAAACCTCAATAATTTATCTCTAGTTATTAGTTTGCGCCCCTTTTCGGCTCTCTAATGACTACTAATATTGCCTATAACTGTTTTCATTATGATAGCAATTCTCTGCTGTTAGATGGGTGCACTTCCAGTTTCTTACGTTGTTGCGCTTAGTGCAGAAAACATGCAAACTATACGGTTCCTACTTCACATGGTTCCCACCTCATCACATAAGTCACAATTTCCAGTTGAACTCAAATCAAAGGCTTTTCTGCTCATCCAGATGTAACTTAGGACCTGTTGGAGTTTCACCAATCTGCTAGTATTGTGAGTCCATTCGCAGAGTACATGAAATGCTATTTCACCAAATAGGATGCAGAGAAACATCCTACATGGAAAGTCCAGGTCTAGGTGGGACTCTGAGCACAGAACATTCTTGTGCTTAACGCCAGAATACAAGGACAGAGGTTAAAACCATATATTTTTTTTAATAAACTACACAGTTCATTTTACATTAACAGTACTTAGTGAAGGGATAATAATGTCAAAGCCCCAGATGGAAAGATATACTATAGATAGTTGACTTGGATGCAAACACCAATGGAAGCTTCTGATATGGGGATTAGCATAGCACTCACTGTGATATACAATCTTGAGACTTCTGGGAATGGTCTAGACTTAGCAACTGCAGGATGTAACCGGGGATTATCAAGATATTTTTGAGACAAATACTTAAAATCACACTTGGAAAGTTCTATGGACCAGTGATGCTGCTCTGCTTTCGGCTACTTTTCCATTTTGAACCTGAAACTCTTGCTGTGGCGATAGGCTCAGGACTCGTGCTGTCACCTTCTTATGTGCTAAAGCATCAGAACCAGGAAGGTGCTCTCTGGCCTCTCTTGCAGTTTTCCTTTCATGAAAACCATAAAATTATCCCAGGTAAATTCTTGTAAGAGTACTCGATAATACTTATAGTTCAAGGCCAGAACAATGGTTTACTGGGTACACACAGCTAACACATATGTACACACACACACACACACACACACACACACACCTACTAATAGTACATAAGATAAAATCTTAAAGAAAGACTCATTCCATAGGTTTCTTTCTAGATTTAGATCATCAGAAGATGTCTACTTGTTCCTAGAGAGGCATGACAAATCATAATAAACAGGCATTCCAATGTTTATCTCATTTACACCTTGACTGCCCAGAGTAAAGTTTATTATTAAACATCACCTTTTGTCCTTGAGCTTCACTCAAACCCATTTTAATATTTTATTAATAAGACTAAGAACCCAAAGAAAGGACTCCAATTTCTCCTTCCTGTATGATCACATAGTCAACAGCTAGCATATAGAAAGTGCTACTTCACCACAAAAATCTCTTCCTAGGCAAAGATTCCACTATTCTCACTTTCTGTCATTCAATCAATCAGTAGCCTTTCCACTTTCTCTATCTTTAATACACTAACATGTTTTCCACTCCTGACCCCTCACCTAAACAGCCTCACAATAAATCGTCCTTATAGCCAAATGAGATTCCACTGAATGGATTTTTATGGGTGTCCAGTAGAGGGTCCTTTCTCAGTAACATAACTCTCTGTTTTTTGCAAAGATATACAAATTTTATTTTCCCTATATATAAACAAAGGTAGATAATTGATTGTTATATACTCAAAATACATGTTCTTGGTTAATAAAATGTTACATATGAATAACTGACATAGCATGTATAATCTGCTTTTGATATCCAAATAAAGTTTTCTATATTTATACAAAGGATTTTTAAGATATCAATACATTTACTTTTTAAATAAATGTATAAACAAAGATTAAAAATGTCCATTTTGCCTTTTGTATGCTTAGTTCAAGAAACATACAACTGCATAGTTTTCATGAATGCTGGGAATATTATCCACATTTATGACATTTCTGCATCAAATGGCTTTGCAAATAATTATAGAGAATAGGATCAAGATTTATGATATTATAAACAAATATAATTCATTATTTAGCATCATTTAAATACTTATTAAACTAAATACTAGACTGTTATGCCTTTATTATGAACCATAACCTTTACATGACATAATTCATTTTTCAGTGTCATTTTCCTGATAAGATTTCAAGACTAGATCCATGGGACTAACTAGGCTCTCTGTATGTGGGAGACAATGGTGAAACTTGAACTATCTGAGGGGCCCCTGGCAATAGGATGAGATTCTATCTCTGACACATGAGCTAGCTTATTGGAGCCCCTTCCCTATGACTGGATGTCAACGTCAGCCTTAATGCAACTCAGTGGGGCTTGGTTCTGCCTCAAAATAATGTCCGAGGCTTTGTTGACTCCCCAATGGAGTCCTTGGGAGAAATGGATGGGAGGTAGGTTGTGAGGAAGGTGAGGGAGAGCAGAAAGAGGGGTAGAGGGAGAACTGTCGTTGGAATGAAAAATAAAATTTTCTTTAAAAAAAGTAAGTGGATTTAAAAAAGAGACTTCAAGGCTAGAAACAAAAAAATAACTAATCCAGATTCCATTACTGAGAAGTGTGGAGATTTGGCTTCCGACTCCAGAGCCTAGGCTCTCCATTACAATGTCATCCATTTCACTTGTCAGGACAATGCAAAAGGTACCTGTCATCACCAATTCCACCCAGATTCCTAACTACTGTATTTGCATATGGGGATTGGGCCCATTTAACGCTCACTAAAAAACCTTTAAGTATTGAAATGGTGTGGCGTCCTGGAAGTTGTTTGCTCTGAACTCTCATGAATCTATATTTACCATACACCATTGATTTGAGGTGCGTATAATTCTGAATTTACACCATATGAAGCTTATGTTCTACATCAGTAACTAAAGAATATCAATGATTTCCCTGGTGCCAAAGAATAGTAATGCAAGAGTAGTCTACCATAGCATATGTTTTAATTCTGGGGACTGAAAGCACGGAGACTACCCCAAACCCTTTATCACTATATATCTTTAAGAAGTTCAGGCAATATCTGTTATAATAGTGAAACTCATCTTTGAAGCAAGATAGTTGACTCTATTCCGTTGTGCTTGTACTTGCCCTAAACAACTCACAAGGAAACTGTTGTTGGTACATATGAATTATGAAGTTTGGTGATCAGCAAACCTTAAGTAGCTCTTGTTAGCCTGATCATTGTGCAATGTATCTACACGTAAGTAAGCTAACCACATATAAGAATGACCTGAAACATTGATCTTTGCTATTGAAAACTGAAGAACCATGAAGTGTCTTCTGATTAGGTATTAGCGAATCTCCTGAGTAGGTGACAACAATCCGTTGTGCATTACTTAGTCATAAAGTTCCCCTCCTGAAAAGTTGTCCACAAATCTAGCATCACCCAAGAGTCGAGAAGCCATGGGTCACACTCAGCTTAGTCCTTAGAATGGAAACCAAACCTTATAATCTACAGAACATTACCACAAAATCGTCCGTCTGTTTAGCATACTAATTGTGTAATCCTAATTTGGGGATTTCTTTGAAAGACTCTTATTAAATCAAATCTCCAGTCTTTAATGCATTTTGCTTCTGCTTTTCAGATTCTAGTGTGCTCTGGCAGCTCGATTGAAGAGGTAGGTACCCTTGCCTGGGTCAACAACAAAGCTGGCTTTGTCTCAGGCTGTGCTAGAGTTATGACTGAAGCCAGCAACCATCAAAGCCTATTATTCTTTAAACGTATGTATCTTCCATGAGTCTTTGAACCCACATAGAAAAACTTCCTTAATATTGGTCTTACCTTTTCCAGTTTTGAAAGTGCAAGAGAGTAACAGTCCTTGGCTCTGAATTGCATGAATCTCATATTTGCTGGGTGAGTAAGCTCAGTGATAATACTGAGACTGGAAAACAACCTAAATTAAAGAAAAAAATTGCATCACACTAATAATCCAATATGGTATGTTATTATAATAACATATTTATGAATGAGTGATTCTTAGCATTAGGCATAAAACTACATCCGATTACAACTTCAGGCACTGCCACATAAAATGATCTGTAAAATATAAGAAGAATGTAGCACTATTTTTAAAAATATTTTACCAACATATTTGTACTGTAAGAAAAAAATAAATTCAGCAATTTTCCTTTAATTTGATGCTTTATTTCCATAATTATGAAACAGCATGGAAGGGAAACTCATAAAGTTGATTTAAGAAGGTATTAAGATTACTTTGTGGGTGATATTAAAATAAAATATGTGACTATTTAGATTGCTATAAAATTCACATGATGCTCTTCTTGTCCGTTCTATGAGATTTTCTAAGCTATGATTCCTAGCCGTTGTTTACCCAGGTGGGGCTTTAGGAACCTTGGCATCATTCACACTTTATAAACTGAGAAATGTAGGCAGTATTATGCCTTCATCTTAGTTTTGATGGCAGATCTTATTTCTCTGTCAAAGTAACATGTAGCACAGGTGAAGCAAATAATACCAGTAAATAGGTTTAACATAAAAAACACAGTCACATTTTTTTGTGTAACATGCCATTGTTTTTATTGTTTATAAGGAAAGGAGCCCAGAAGGTTTTGGATGATTTGTGAAACATTTAGCCAAGTGGCAGGAAATGGATAGTATTTCCAAGAAATTTAAATTTTTAATGTTTTTATTTATTTATTATTGTTGTTACTATTGTGTGTGTGTGTGTGTGTGTGTGTGTGTAAGAAAGAGAGAGAGAGAGTGAGAGGGAGACTACAACATGCCACTTGCATGGCAGGCCCCCTTTTTGCTGAGCCACATCACTGCTATATCTTATAGAGATTTTGTGGGTTTTTTTTTCTTAGTCTTTTCCCTAAGATACCATTGCTTTCTTGTTTGCTGTTCTCTCCAACCTTTACATGCTTGAAATCAAAGATATATTTTTTTTTAAATTTCCTCTAGAATCCAGTTAAAATGAGAAATTTTAAATCCTTTGAAGTGAAAATCCTCCTCTAAAGCTCCCTGGAATTTGATTTTCACACTATCTCTTGCCCTATACTCCAGGGATTTTCTCTTATGAAACAACAACATCTAGAAAGGCCAAGTCTTCCTTTCATGGCCTACCACTGCCTATCTCTTATATATCAGTAACTAACAAATCTTTTAAGACCTATTTTCTGAATCTTGGCTCACACAGTTGGGACAAAGGGTTAGTGGTAGACACAGCGCTTCTGCTCTCTACTTGACAAGCTATATAGTTTGCATCCCAAGCAATCTCCTTTCAGAATCATTGTCTTTTTATTTCAAAGCCAGTTAGCTAATAAATAAAATAATAATACTAAATATAGTTAACACATGGGGTGTCACAGCCTGTATTTAATAATAGGAGCTGACAGGGAGTTAAATGGAATAAGTAATGTCACTAAAGCAGATCATTTAACACAGAATCTTGTAGTTTAATTAGACACTGAATGCTGCAATCTTTACTTGAACTTCCTTCTTTGCTGTTCCCATCTGTACCTCCTTTCTGAAAAACTGTAGGGAGGATGGCTTAAACTAACGCTACCATTTCAATGTCTACAGACTTGTGCTGTTCTGTTCCAAACCATCACATGAACTTCAATCTATAGAACTAGTTGAGTTGCTATCATTGTGGCTCTGGCTGGTCTTGGTGGATCTATCAAATCTACTATTGACCAAACAACAAAATCACATCTTCTTGCTGGTCCAACTTCTATTGCAAATCAAGAGAACTAGCTATATTATCTACTCAAACCACCAGTGGCAAATCCCTTCTTAAGAAATCACTTACAATGGCCACCTTACTGAAGAAATTTAAGCACACACACACACACACACACACACAAAAAAAAAACATGTATTTACTGTAGAATTTCCATAGTCAGAATCTAACTAATCCTTCAGAATCAAGACACTACTCAAAGTCATTTCTTACTATTCTAATACATGTTGAATACTTAGTAAAGAAAGTCAGATAATCAGAAACAATAATATATTATTAAGAATATCTAGCAATATATTGGCTTTTCATATATTAAAAGTCAAATGTATTTTTGAAATATCAAGTCTATTACCTAGCATAAAGAGTGGTAGACCTGTCCTTAGTACTGTTCTAGGACTAGAGAGCTGGTGTCTAACATCTAATTTAACAAAAAAAAAAAAAAAAAAAGGTAAATGTCCATTACTAGCAATCTCTGGTCTTAAGGAAATACAAAAAAGATATTGAAGTGAAATACTCATTATTTAACTCTGAGAACTGACTGTGGAGACAGCAGAACTGAATGATACAAGCCAATGTATATTAGTTTAAGTGGTGGTAAACTGTGGCAGACTGGGATACTCCTAGATGAAGTGACATTAGGACACTAGTGAATGATAACTTCTGAGACAAACATAGCTTCTTAAGGAGAGAAATGTATTTCATCTGTTGGAGAATTGTTATCTGCCTACAATGTGTAAATGCTATAAGCATATGGCTTATTTTCTAACTCATTAGATGAAACAGAATAATAGATAGGGCCTAAGAGAGAGTGAATGAAAATTAAAATTGCAGGACTCAATTATATTTGAATGACTACTATGGTTGAAATTCTATTGTGAACAAAATGTATGTGACTTGTCTCTTATACATAAATGAATTTTACTATTTTAAACTAAGCAGCAAGTAATGCATTAGCTAAGCCTGCCACCTAGTGAAAATTTAAAAGTAATACTTATGCAATAAAGTATTATAGGACCCTGTATGTCTATAAAACATTACTTGTATTCAATTACAGTATTCATTTATGTATTCATTTGCCTAACACATTTAATTATGTTTCTTATAAATACCGATGCCATAAATCTATTTCTTAGTCTTGATATTTGCTAAACACATTGTGAATGCTAAACAGTTTAGAAATAACATTACATAATAAGCCTCTTTTTTTTATACTAAGAATAGGATATAACAATACAGCAATTAATAAAGTAATATAATTAGTTTTATTTTATTCTCTTGCTTGCTACTTTATTTTATTATAAATCTGTTTAATATAATTAAATCATTGCAAATGTAAATCAAATCAAATAAAATAATCTCTGATGTTTGGCTGTTGGGTATGTAGATAGTTCTGTCTTAGCCAGGTGCTAAAACAGCCATGTTTAGAGAAACTGGGTCATGTACTGGTTTCTCATCCTTATCTTCCTTCCGTTTAACATAAGAATATACTGAGCACAGCTCCTAGTGGGTGTGAGTAAATACTTAATTAGCTCTTGAAGGTAAGTGCTAAAACACCAGTCTGTCCTGTCTGGGATAGGGAGGCAGATGAAGGCCTCCTTGATATCTGTGATTGGGACAGTTTGATTGGCCAGCTCACCTCTTCTTTCCTCTGCCCAATAATACTAAGTGACCCTTAGAAAAAGATTCTTGGCAGCACCCCACTTGACTTTTTTTTTAAAGATTTCTGTCTCTTCCCCACCGCCGCCTCCCCTTTCCCTCCCCCTTCCCCAATCAAGTCCCCCTCCCTCGTCAGCCCAAAGAGCCATCAGGGTTCCCTGCCCTGTGGGAAGTCCGAGGACCACCCTCCTCCATCCAGGTCTAGGAAGGTGACTCTTACTCCCCATAAAAGTTGTGCTTGCCCTCTTTCTACAATAAAACCCCCTGTCAGTTTTCTTCCATACCACATCTCTTTTGTAAGGTACCTTCTTTCTCCATAAACTTCATGCTTCAGTTTTAGGGGACAAAGGACCTGGAAGGCACTGATAATAGTGGCTTCAGGGAACATTGGCATTTTGCCATGATAGTCCCCCAAATTATGTTCAACGGAGAAAAGAAGTCTCCCTCAAACTCCAGGAATTGCTCCTCCATCTCAACACTATTCTATTGTTTTTAATCATTATGAAGCAAAAGTACTTTAGGTAAACCTTTAATTGAATTGCTTCATAATTTCCTCTACAGGCTACTATCATAAGAAGTCTTCCAGTAATTTCTATGTTTTTTTTTTCTTAATCAGTATAGTGGGAACAGCTTGTATATTCTCAACACTTCCTCGATGCTTGACAAACCTGAGTCAAGTGTACCCCATCACTAAAGCACAAGTGAGAGCCTCGGCTGTAGAGGTCACTGTGTCCTGCTACTCATCGAATGCAGATTCTGGTCTATTTTTGAAGAGATGACAGGCCGGTAAGTTGCTTGCATGTTCAGAGTGCTCGTTGTCTTGCAAGTTCTGTCGCCAAATTTTGGTAAACAAAATCAACAATGCTTCTTATTGAAGTAAAATGAGCACAAACGAAGCTTTGCAGGAAATTACTCCTGAATTTTTACCATTTCAATACAACACCAGATGAACTGCATACTTAAGGAGCAGTGAACATTTTTACTGTGTTCTATGCAGAGAAACTTTTTCTTTCTCAGACATTTTCTCCTCTCCTTTCACCTCACACCTGTTCCTAAATCTACCTGTTTGTCACAGATTGGTTAAAACAAACAGTACATCCTAATAATACTGTTTTCTTTCTTAGGAACACAGGTGGATTCTGTTAGAATTTCAAACAACACCAAAAACATCAATAGCTGAAACTGGCTATTTTTAATCCAATTTTGATGTGCTTATTTAAATTTAGCTTTTTCACAAATCTATGAAAATAAGATTTTTTGTTTTTTAGTTTTCTGAGACAGGGTTTCTGTGTGTGTGCTACCACCAGTGGAAATAATTTGTAAGTGAAATGGTGTGTGTGTGTGTGTGTGTGTTTATGTGGGCATATACACCTGTATGTACATGTGCACATGCACATGTGTGCACATTTGTGTAGAGACTGCATGTTATTGCCAGGTATCATCCTCAATTGATATTTACCTTATTGTCAGTATCACTCACTAAACAGAGAGCTTAGGGATTTGTCTAGATTAGCCAGCCAAGGAGTCCCAAAGAC